CTCCTTCTCCTTCTCCTTCTCCTTCTCCTTCTCCTTCTCCTTCTCCTTCTCCTTCTCCTTCTCCTTCTCCTTCTCCTTCTCCTTCTCCTTCTCCTCCTCCTCCTCCCCAGCTCTCTGCCCGGGCTGTTGTCACTCCCGCAGCTGAATGAGCAGCACCCCCCAGGCACCCACAAACCAAACAAACCCGTGCTTTCTTCCCCTGCCTCACTGACTGGGTCTTTTTTTTGTCAGCAGCTTTTTATTTCTGGCTCTGGCCATCCCCCATGTGCAGCTCCAGCAGGGAGGGATGAAATTATTGTGTTTCAAGGCACTTCTGTTCCAGGGTATAAAGTTACTCAGCATTTACAGGTCCAGGTCTTTAGAGATATTTTTATTCTGTGCCTGTTTTGCTGTGCCTGAGAGTGACGTGTTTGTGGATGCTTCCAGCTAACAGTGCCTGAGTGTAAATAATGCTTTACTCTTATTTACAAATCAAGAGGTTTTTTTTTGTTTTGGTTTTTTTTTTTTTAATTGTGTTTACAAAAATGTATTCACATTCTGATTTTCTTTATGCAGAAATGAAAGTACCTGAACTCCAGGGCAGGGCGGGTTTGGTGAGCAGAAGGGGTAGGAGCCTGGCTGCACTGTGTTATATAAACAATGTGCTTGTTTTGAAAGCAGACCTAGAGGAGTTTGAAATGCATTTATTTAGGCCAGGAACCCATCTGGGCCTACCAGTAATGGATTCACAGAGCAATTGTGTCTTGGCCGGCAGATTTTACATTTGTTGCATGATTTGCACCAGTCAATACAGAACAGGGACACATGTGCTCACATCTGGAACATATGAGCCACGAGGGCAGGGACGGAGTGGTGATCTTGCTAGCACCAGGCACAGTCTGGATTTCAGGGTAAAAATGCATATTTTTATTTGTTTATTTTTGATGAGCTGTTAGATTTCTGAGGCACAGTGTGGCAGTGCCCATTTCCTTGCAGGGCTCCTGCAGGATGCAGCTCTACCACAGAGTAAAGCTGGGAGCTGCCTCCTTCACCTGGCTGGCCAAGAAGGAAAACTCCAAATTCCATGTGAATGTAGCACAGGACAAGGATCACAACACTGGATCAACGATCTGCCCCCTCTCACAGCACTGCCAAGGACATGGCAATGAATTTTAATTCTGGCTATGGAAGTAGGGGAAAAAAAGCTTTATCCACAAAGAAAAAACCAGATTCTTTATATAGGAAATATGAAATGGAAGCAAACCCCAAGGCTGTATGTAGAAACACCTTTCTGAGCCCTTCAGGGTGCCCATAGCCCTTGTTTCTGGTTTCTCTCCATCTCTCACAGCTTCCAGAGGCTCCAGAAAC